TCCTTTAGAAAAAATAGAAGAAAAAAGAAAAGAGCTACAGATGCAGAGCGGTACCGTGCCAGACTTGGATAGAGTCTGTTGGGAAGTGTGAGAGAATAACTGGTTAGCTTGGTCAAGAAAAGAGAGACTGCACAGTTTATGACACTGAGGGGAACCAGGCTAAATGAAGTATTAAGTATTATAGTGTTGTAATCTGTTGTGATCACCTTGGTGCAGTAAATTCAACACATATACCACAACCGTGTCAATTTATCAGTCAGCTGTAAAACATACACAGGTCTAGGATGTAATCTTGTAGAGAAAGGCACAGTTTCCCACACCTCGGAAGAACCTATAAGGACCTCCACTGAACGTTTATAGTTTAGAGCGAGGCATGTTTGCTAACTGAACCACAATGTTTGTTTTACCAAGAACAACTACCTCTAACTACCAATACAAAATTCAAAACAAAGGTAGTAGAGTGATTACAGCATCACCATCATCGATTACTTCTCTGCACATTAGCGGTGGGGTGGGGAGGTCAGATCCTAACCTGTTGTTGGTCTTATTCTTCTCCATCTGCTCATTTTGGTGTACGTGCCAGTCTTCAAGCTCCTTCTTCGCTTTCACTCTCCATTCTTCCTCCGCTGCCTTGGATGCCGAGTCTTATTAGGACGCAAGAAAGCAGAAACGTCACACAGTTGTATTACATTTAATTTCTTCTGTTTCTATGTGTGACACAGATCTTTTCTGATTAGTTTAAACTTTATCACCAGTGTGTTGAAAGCCAGTTTAGCCTCTAACAGAAGGGCAAATAGCAGTACAGTGAAGTGTTAGTAAATAGGTGTGAAATGAACCAGGGACCTTGTAAGGAAAATAAGAAGAATCATAAGAGCTACACAGCACTAAGTGCATTACACACAATCACTGACAGCGGCAGGGAAACATTGTTACCAACCTAATGCTTCAAGGCGTGCCTTCTGCTCCTCCCTCCATTTGCGTAAACTTTCAGGTTCTTGCCTTTGAATATCCACCTGGGCGATGGCTGCGTAGCTGTCTGTTGGGCCATTGGACTCCTGTTGGGGTACGCAAAACATGTACACCATTAGAAGCAGCTATTCGCTTCATTCATGCGTGAACGCCACAGCAAATCCTTCATCACATGATTGCGGTGTTCAGAATAAAACTCAACCACACATAGGTTATATAAAGAGACAGACAAGACTGAAGCTCACCTGAAACAGGTCTCCATTCAACGTGGCAGGCTCTTCAAACCCGTCTAGCATTTTTTTTTTTAAAAACAAAACAAAAAAATACAGATATAAGTTTAGATGAACTTCTTGGAGTTTATCCGCTTATACTTCCTTGCTATCTGGAGCGACTTATGCTCGCTGCTGCTACTACCACCGTGGTGTAACTTTTGGTCTCGAAACGGATAAGACTTCAGAAATGCAGCAACACCTGTTTGGTTACCTGCTTAATATTGTCTGGGCTGCTTTGTCGGTTAGAAGGCCAGTAGCACTTGTTCGCTTGCTTAGTTTTAAGGTGCTAGTGTCACATAGTTAATGTTATGTGGGATAGCGTTAAACAAAACCTACGTTGTCGCAGCTAGCTAAGCTACAAGGCTAACGTACTGTTAGTTTGAATCTAAATAGGAAGCAATAAGAGTGTTAACCACTTATATCAGACAGCGGTGTTGTTAACATATGGCGGTGGGGCCTTTGTTGGCTAACTACTAAGCAAGTTACCGATGCAAGTTCCTGTATTAGTATTAGCTAGCTCTAGTTAGCTTTGTTTGCTCGTTAGCTGACGTTAGCTCAGGGACAAGCTTGCCATAGTTGTCGGTCTGCGGCTGCTGAACACCGGCTCCTTCTAGGATCCCAAATGCGTCGCCATCGTTTTCTATCCCCGCTATCTCATTCTCCTGTTGAGCCAGGAAAGCGGCGGCCGGGTCCTCTTCAGTCGGGTGCGCTCCGTTGTCAGCCATCTTTCACAAAAAGTGTAGAAGTTTGACTGAGCTTGCTTAGCTTGCTAAACGTTAAAGCCACAAAAAATCAGGCCACCGAGCTCTGCAACGTTAATAGTAACAACTTAAAAATTCGATTAGAGTGTTATCTATTCTAAATATCGCTTGGAAAACTAGAGTCAGCTAGTAAAGCATACGGAACAAACAATCTACGCGTCGATTAAAGGCCGTAACTGATGATTCATTATTTCTTCACTTGTTCAACCAGTATGTGTATGATGATAGAGCAGGGGCAGCACCCCGAGGGGACCTTTACATTTTGTTGGAGTTTGTCGCCATCTGCTGGCCATCTGCAGCACAGCACTGTCATCTCCAAGGGTTGTAGTGCTAATGCAGTGACAGTAATAAAAAAATATATACAAACCTTATATAGCACAATTTATAAATGGAAAATGGTTCGTAAAAGCATAAAGGTTATGCATTCACCCCCCCCCACCGGAAAATAAATATCCTCAGCAAAATCTACATGAGTGGATCATTAAAAGGGAGACGCAGCAGACATCCTCACCACTTAACTGGAACACCTTCAGATCCTCCCTGCCACCTGCTTCTGGATCAAAGATTTCCTCACTAACCGCCCCCAATCAGTCTGACTTTGCCCCCACCTCTCCCCCCACTCGCTGTCACTCTGCACCAGATCCCCCTATTGTATGCCCTCTACACTGATCTCAACCCACCCAACCAACATAGTCGTCAAATATGCTGATGACATACTGGGTTCATCTCTGATGGAGGCGTACAGGGCAGAGGTAGAGAAACTTGTCACACTGGTGCTCAGAAAATAACCTAAAGCTGAAGGTCCTTAAAACAAAAGAGCTCACCTTGTCCTCCGCTGGCCTTCTACTGCTCCACAGTGGAGCATGCTCTCCTACTGCCTGGGTGTTGGGTACGCAGGGGCCACAGCTGAGAGCAGGAAGGATGTGCAAATGTAATTAACATCGCCCAAAAAACCATTGACTGTCCTCTGCCAACCCTGGAGGCCAGGTCAAGATCTCCGGTCAGTCAGGTCCTACACCTCCAGACTCACAAACAGCTTCTTCTCCTGGGCCATTCGGACTGTTAAACACTCAACAAACACCCACACCCCACACCTGCCCACTCACCTCACCATGGTTTGAGTAATCCTCATCACTCAGGTGACTCACACACTGTCTATTCAGACCATGTATTTTCTTTACACTGCTTCCAAGCACTTTGCAACTTGTTCTCTAAAGTGTGCCTTTCTCTTATTTTTGTATATACCCCTCTTGACTCTATATATTTCTCCTGTTTGCTATTTACTCCTGCTACGGATCTTATTAACGGCCTATGCTTTGCATTTATGATCATTAGTAATGACCTTTCAGTAATGGTCGATGTGGTTAGTGTTAGTGGAGTTTTGTACCATTTAAAAATCCATAATTGGAAAAAACAGCACTGGATAAACAGTTTGGGGACAAAGTTAAAGAGACGAGGCTGATATGGTTTGGATACATGCAGAGGAGTGATAGTAGATATAGTGGACAAAGGATATTGAAGATGGAGCTGTCAGGCAGGAGGAAAAGACCACAGAGGAGATTCATGGATGTAGTGAAGGAGAACATGCAGAGGGTTGGTGTGGCAGAGGAGGATGCTGGGGATAGGATGAGACGAAAGTTGTAGCGACCCCTAGAGGAAGCAGCTGAAAAAAGAAGATACACATTAATTATTGCATAAATCTGGCTAGAACTGATATAGTGCCTGTCACATGAATGTTAATAATAAATATTACCCTCCTCAATTGTTCAAAAGAATCCTTTTTTAACACCTGTTTTTGTTTGCGAACAGAATTAATTACGTTTGTTTTTTTTGTTTTTTTTAACGTAACGCCTGTTACGTTAAGCAAAAGAAAACAACTCCATTTGCAGGTGCTGATAGCGCCAAGGGCACGAAACAGCATACCCATTGTAGTGGAAGTTCCGTTAGGTTTCACAGCGAGCGATGTGTATGATCGTTTTGTGACTTCCTCCCCTTTCTTTGGAATGTACAAAGGTACAAAAGAGCGAGAGCTCCACTTCTGTTCCAGGGACTGCGATTGATGACATGCGCATGATAATAAAGAGTGTTGATTGCAGCTGACCGTATCTGCGCACTTTCTTAACTTTTTTTGTTTTGTTTTGTTTTTTGGTGAGACGTTTATCCACTTATCCGTTTTCCTACCAAGGAGCCTCCCTCAAAAATGTTTCACAAAAGCATTTTCAAAGAAAATATAAAGCCATATATAACATAGTAGCACTTGCAGTAGAAGCAAATACTGCTTCTTCTTTTTTAAACTAACTTCACTTTTCTTTTTTATTTTACAGACTCTTGCGCTATTTCATAGTATAAGGCTCTTACCATGCAGGCACCTGTGAAACTTTCATTTTAACTGTGTTGTTTATTGTAGACGTATATATCTGTTTCTCTTTCCATCTAGGATAAGTCATGTCAAATTAAGTTACCTATTACTATTAAATAATAATGGCTTAGCTATAGCTAAGCCATTATTATTTACTGTACTTACTATAGTAAGTACAGTAAACAGCGTGTGTAAAAATTATTCTTCAGGGGCGGTGTCCTGGATTAGTTCATATTTATCCCTGAGGCATAGTCTTATTTATTTATTTATTTATTTATGTTCCTTTAGTTAAAACCGACGGAGTGATTGAGAAAAGCTGTTTCAGGGCGGCTATGATGAATGGCTTTAGTAGTAGCAGCTGATGAGTGCAACTCGGCCTCTGAGTGAAATGAAGCCTCCGCCCATGTGACTTCTGACGTCTCAGCAGAGTCCTGCTAAAAAGAATTTGAGGGAATGAGTTTGCTGCTCACCAGGGGGATCCACGGCGGCTTCCTGACGTTTGCTTCAAGGAAGTCTGAAAAGTTGCCTGCTTGCCAACCCACTTATCAAATTTTTTAATTATTTTTAATCCGGTACACTCGTGATGTCCGGCGAGCACAGAGAGACACAAGAGGTAAGCTAATGCATCTTTGTGTGTTTGTGTAACTTCTTCAAACCAACTTTTTCCCCACAGAGGAGGTTTGTATGGGTTAAGCTGGTGCTCCAAACTGTGCAGGCTCATGCTTCTGGCCATCTTCCCCGAGCCCCTGCTGCTCTGTAGCTGTGCTAACTACTTTGTCAGAACCGAGAGTTTTGTCTGGTTTTCGTGTCCCGTGTTGTCGCGAGTGGAAACCTGGCTGTCTGCGGCGGTGTTAACCGGGGTACAGCGTTCACAGCGTGGCCTTTAATTACCGCTGGGAAATTAGTGTGCTAGACTCATTGAAGAAACCCGTGTAAGCTCGTAATTGCGTAGCGTGTTAACCAAAAATTCCTTGTATTTGAGCTCTCATTAAGAGCAACACGAGTTCCTATAGAACTAATGCAGCAGCAGCAGCAATAATATAGAAGATTATAAATAGCAACACCATAAGCATGGGGATGAGTGCCACACATTTATTGGCTTAAAACGGATGCTTTTATTCTCTTGCCTATCATACAGGGTGGTGTTTAATTAAGTGGAGTGCAGTCACATTAATGCTGTAACTTCCTCCGCTTTAATACAGTCTGAGTAATCAGCTTTCAGTGTGGTGTTTGTCACCAGTGAAATCTAGCCTCCATTACCTGCTGCTCCTGCTGCAGGTCTTTCTCTGTCGCCTTATGCTCCTCTGTATCATAGTTCATTTCCCTGGCTCTGAGAAAAACTAATTTAAGCTTTGCCAATAAAGAGTCAGGTTTGTACAGATCTAGAGGCTGCATTGACAGTAAATGAATGCGAATGCAAGTCTTTTTTTATTTTAAGGATTTCCATTAACTTTAGCAGATTTGCAGGTTTTCTTAGTGGGATTATTTGGGCTAGGCTGGATTAAAGGCTAGATTTTCCTTATCTGTGAGCACACCACTGTCTCACCAGCCTTTACAGTGTGTGTGAGCGGCTCTGTTGCTTTAAGAGCTTGATGTTAAAGTATAATTGCTGAGGGTTTTTTTTTTTCTTGCTTGTACTATGTTTCATGCCCTACAGAAAGAATGTAGAGGGTTGTGTGCTTTGCTTCATTTGTGGCCGTCTGCCGTTTCCCAAGTGCAATGAACTTAGAGGAGGAGAAAAAAAAATCTCCTGGCCCGTGCCAGAATCCATGGGTCGTTGACGTTACCTCTCTCCATCCTCCTCTGCCCCCCTCCTCCTCCTCCTCTCCCTGTGACTCATGTGGGTGTTGGGCTGAAATAGTTTGGTGTAGTTTTACATTCCTTATATAGCCTCTGAGGAGTGAGGAGAGGCTACGGCTTGCCTGTGTCACAGTCAGGATCGAGGGGGTAGGGTTTGCCAACAGAGAGGGAATTTGCTTGCTCCAGCTTACTGACTCTTTAGCTTTCTCCCAGGTTTGGGCTACCAGCTGACCTTTGAGGACAAGGTAGGTGGCATAGCTGTGTGTCACAGAGACCTGTGACACCTGGTAGGTTTGCGGAAGAGGAGGAGGAGCAGGGCTAGAGTAGCCGTGTGAGCACAGAGGTCAGTGGTCAAACCCTAACTCTGTGTAAGCCACTAACAGAGGGCTGCATCTCATGTTGCCCTTTGGTTCTTACAACTACCTAGTTATTTAGTGCCTTGCCGCAGACTGGCAGTAATTAATTGCGGTGAAGCCACGATACCTGTTACCTGGCTGAATACAGCAAGTGGCACATTATCCCCCGCGAAGGAGGAGTTGTTGCTGCTATTGTTGTGCAGTAGATCTTCTAAATGCTGCACATTGGTGCTGCAGTAGACTGAAATGAATTAAACTCCAACTTCACCTTAGAGTTTAGCTTTAGATTATGACACCAGGCTATTTGTGTGTTTTGAAATGTGTAAAAATGGCACGTCCAACCGGCACCGCTCCCTCTTTATTGCCTAATTTTGACGTGCCGTAACATGGTTATTCCTAAAACTAAGACGTGACATTATCTGCTGTAAAAGAAAACAAGTTGAGTGTTATTTTCTGTATGCTGTGTGTATGTGTGCTCTTGTGGGCTGGTGGTGCTGAGAGCCAGCAGATAGACTGTTTCAGATAAAGCAAAATAATAAAGGACCTTGAGAACCTTTTCCGGGCTTTCTGGCTAATTAAGATGTTTCCTTTCCCCTTTTTTTCCTTCCTCAAGGGTATGAATACGTACTCTGTAACCCTCAGCGGCTCGCCGCCTTGGGGCTTCAGGCTGCAGGGTGGCAAGGACTTCAACATGCCTCTCACCGTGTCAAGGGTAAGAAAGTGCACATGGAATCAGCTTTTGTACTTTTTTTGCATCTGTGCAGAGCAGCAGTTGAGGTGTTTGTACTCTCCTCGGAGATTTCCTCTAAGCTTCTATGAAAGCCTCGGCCTGTTAACAAGAGTCTGTTGGTTTTAAGTACCAGCTTGGCCACCTCAGTCATCAGGGCTTACCCTGCCTCAGCATATGCATGTGTCACATCACTTTTTTTCTTTGTCTTTTTTATTAGGCACGGATAGTAAAGGGTTTTGTCTACAGAAGCATTTCCATACTATTCAAATGTTTTTATGGCTCATTTTGGTAACCCTTCCCGATCTGTTCTAACATGCAGTTTCTTTGCATGACACTCCCGCTGTGTGCTTTGTACTCTGTGTGTTCGCTGCCCTCCTCCTTCCCTGGACAAATTTTCAGATACTCTTTTATAAACTTCTGTTGCTATTGACGAGAGCGGCGACCACTTTCCAGCCCATATAAGTGCAGAGCTGCTTTGCCTGACAAACATACAGACTCGCACTTGCAGCTACGCACACAGACGCCTGCACATTGCACACACATAAAATCATTCCAGCTTTCCTGCCAGCTATTGCTCACACAGATCTAGTTTTCTACTATGCGCTCGCTGGTTTTATTGCATTATTGCACTGCTATCCAAATAAACCGGGTGATCTGTAAGTGTCAGTCTGACTTAACAGGTATTAATTCTGTAGTTATGTTCAATATTTGCAGTTTATTATTTCAGAGATGATTAGGAGTTAATAGGTTTGGACCCTGGTGTAATTATTGAATTGAGCTTTCTTTGTCTTTGTAGGTGCAAAAAAAAAAAAGATTGCATACTTAAAACAGACAAATGCAGGTTCCCATGAACTGCAGGGTATTGTGAGTAGCATCACACTGAGGTGCATGTAGAGCTCATCTAATCCTGTGGCGAAGGCAAACGTTATCGCCAACCCTGTCAGTACTTGTCTTGTATTTGCTCTACTTACTGCCAGGCATTTCAGTCAGAAACACAATGTTCCCCTTGGATTTATGACAAGAAGCATTTTACTTGTACCCATAAAAGACCGAACAGATGTAGAAACCTCTTTTGACGTACGGCCACAAACAAACTGAGACATAGCTGTTAACTTGGAGGAATTTCAGTCCAGGCAGACGGGGCGTACTGCAGGGTGAATATCAATGTGTGAGTCAGTAGATCTAGACGGCTATCAAACGAGTTCTCATCTAAATGTGTTGACTGATTACTGAAGTGGCGCAAGAGCCCAGTTTGTCTGCATTCCAGGTACATATCACACGCTGGTGATTTTTCCCTACTACAAAAACTTGTGTGATATTTTATAGTTTATGATTTATAGTATAGCAATATCCTTCCCTCAGGTTGGTCTAAGCTAATCGCTCCTAGCCGAGGAACAAAAAACCCTTAGTATCTCTAAGCTTGGAGCTGTAACGACTGGTCAGCGGCCAATATCTCTGTTTGCTCCAGCACTGGGCCTCGGGGTTCACAAGTTATAAAGATGTGACAGGTTTTCTCTCTTTTTCTTTTTTCTTTCTTTTCACCTCTTGGGGACTGTTTGCTCTCATCGTGATTGTCATAAAAGTAGGGACAGCGAGTCCCACAGTCGCAGAGGTTGAAAACAGCCCAACAAGGGGCCGTAAACCCCAATGATCTACAGTATCCCTTAGTAACAGGAAGAGAAGTCAGACCTACACTTACTGGGTTCGCATTAGATGGATGTGGTGGGTGGTCTGTGTTTGCTGGCTTGTAGCTGATGAGTATGTGAACCCAGACGGACGGTTAAGTGATTACAAAATGAAGAGAGTGTAGATTGATGGAATAAAAGGCTCTTAGAGTCTCTGTGAGGTGATGAGATTGCAACTCCCGAAGGATCCATGTGTCCAAGTGGTTTTTGTTTTGTTTTTTTGGTAAACACCAGATGACAGTTGCCATTGTTTGGGAGTGGATTTGTTGAAGCCGATGGTTATTTAGGTCACTCGAGCTTGATCGTGCTGTGGCAGATAGTGATATTGTTTCTTGTACTGCACGTGGATATTCCAATTATCGATTTGTAAAGTTGCGGCTTTGACTTGCTACCTCCCCGTGTTTGGCGCTCGGTTTTATTGGTTTCCATGCTAGACAAATATGGTTGTTTCCTTCCTCTGTCTGCAGGCGGGGAAGGCTATGCTTTCTCAGCATTCCAGGGATTTTTCTCATATCCACTCTGTTGCTGCCAACAGACAATCCCGTTGTCTCCTTTCTGTGTCTAATACGTCTTGCACACTCACTTTTCTCATTCACGTGATGGACTCCTCCGGTCTCAAAGGGATACTTTCCCAGTGAGATCAGAGGAATGATGGCCATTACTTTTAAGACACAGTGAAGGGAAAAGGAAGAATAACTTTTTCACCTTGGATTAATAGGTACACATTGATTTAATCCTGAAAGAAATATGTGCAGGGCTTTTTTATTTTGCTCAATCAATGTTCAGCTCTTGGGACACAGCTGATTTTTCTTCTAGCTGTTCTAATTTTCTTCCTCGTGGTAATAGATGGTTAAGCATTTCTAGCTAGTAAAATCATTAGTTCGCGTGACTCTTCACCATACCGCTAAAGAATTATCTATAAAGCATGTCATTATAAGCCATAAAACCTGACAAGATTATGCTAGTCGCAGCCATGCCCAGTGGACTTTGCTTCGCCCTCTCAACAACTAGGATCTGAGTGGTGCTTGGCTTTGGTTTCTTTTTTTGGTTCAGACCTGAGCGTTACTTGAGTTTAAGTGGGTTTTAAAGGGACAGCTATTTCTTATTTCATATCCATTAACTTAAAGGACTTACAAGAGACGGCTGAAGCACCAAAGGCTCAGAGACCTCCACCTTTACTCCCAAGTATGAGTCAAACTCTAGAAAGACAGAGTCCTAAATTTTCCATAAATCTGTTTGATGGTTCCTTTTATTACATCCTTCCTGCCTTGTAGTGTGTTCATTTTTTAATACTTTACAGCTCTAGACTGTAATGAAGAATTTCCAGTATAAATATGTAGTCTCTCCCCGTGACAACATCAGAATTATTTTCTCAGACGTACTAAAGTTTCCTAAGAATTCCCCTAAAGCTGCAGAGGATGTTGGTATTTAAGGAAACGCTTGTCTATGATGAAAAATGCCAAACTTCACTTACTAGCATAATGTAATTCTTTAACCATGGTGGTATTGTGCAAAATTCTGTTTGCTTTTTGAATGTAAGATTGTGATGACCTTGAAGTAGGCAGTCTTCTTGACTCAACTTGTATCTCGCTCCGCATATTGACGCCAGTATCCTGTTTCAACAGGAAAGGCATGAAATATAGGAAGCAAGATGTTGTGGTAATGCAGTTTTGTCACTTTCCATGTCGACTGCAACGCGCTCTGGTGCAGCCCCGCAACTCTTCCGAGGAGTTTGTCCATATATCTGACCCAGATCTCGTTCCAGTGCGATTCCAGAAACATTATGATGGCATAACCGAGGCTTCTGAGTGCCATCTGGTTTCTTTTGACAAACACATGCCATACCACTGAAATCAGATGTTCATAGGAAATTACTAATGATGTCATGTCAATAAGCAAGTAGAGAGATTTATAACAGTCTCTCCAACACCCATCCACCACCACAGCTGGATGAGTCATCGGCTCTTATATTCCGGTTTCTGTGTCCCAGTCTGACTAGTAGGCCATCTGTTGCTTTATCTCTCGTATCTTCTTAAACACTCCTCTTTCTTTCTCACTCTCACACAAACTCCGGGAAGAGAGGCCTTGTTAGAGGGGTGATTTAATAATTCAGAGCTTGCTGATACATCGGCTGCAGGGGGCATTTCTCCTAGTTGGATAAATAAATGTCTTATGATGCAGTGTTTTTAAGGTGAGTTGGTACTAGGTGTTCAGTTGCAGTCATGTTTGGTGGGTGACCACATACTTACAGGTTTGAGTTTCCATTTCTCAGAGTGATATTTATGGCTTGGCATCAGCTGTGCTCTGTGTGTGTGTTTTTGAGTGAGTGATGTAAGGACAGACTGTCTCTTGGCCTCCAAATAGCCCTGGAAAGAATAAAAGTGAGCTGGTGCAGAGTTACACAGTCAGTATATCAGAAGTTGCAGATAAACTTGAGGGCATTATTAGTTTAACCAAAAAAAAGAAAGGCTGAGAGCAAGTGTGGGGGGCCCTGGATCACCTGTGAGGTTACCCAAGGAAAGAACTTCAAAGTTGAATTCAAAAAGCTGCATTTTGAGAGGCTGGCGAATGCTTTGAAATTCAATAGCATTCCAAAACAGCTTTGCTGCTCTGCCAAAAAGCCTTGAAACTGGCTACCAACTCTTCGGCTAGCCTCGCAGTTGCAAATACTTGAAGCTGCAGAAACGTCGTGTCATTGGCATGATCGCATTTGCACAAAATCACGTGTAACACGTAGAGCGTAAATAAACGTATATGATAAGAGCTGGCCTTGTCCCGCAGCCGTCTTTGTGCCGCGCCCGGGCTGTTGTGGGGAACAGTGGAGTGCGGAGAACATGTTTTCTACTGACGTTAACTGTATTGACAAACTGCTGCAAAGTGAACGAGGTGGGTGTAGGGTTTCTGTCTGCCCCCCACCAACCGAAGGTCTGAGCACAGCAACTTTAACTGCTGCCCTCTCAAGTAAGGGAGCAGCTGCACTCTGAACCTGAGCCAGAAGCACAGGTGTCCGTGTCCATCAATAACCAACTCTCTCTCACACACACACATTCACCTAATGCAGTCCACAGCGTTAGAACTTTATCTACATCATCTTTTTAAAAGCAAAACCAGTTCAGGAGGAGCACCATGACCCTCCCGAACAATGTCATTGGTTCTTTTTATTCCTCCTAGAACAGCGGTCCCCAACCTTTTTTGCGCCACGGACCGGTTTATGTCTGACCATATTTTCACAGACCGGCCTTTAAGGTGTCGTGGATAAATACAACAAAATAAAACCAGTATAGGTACCAAAAAAAGGAAGATTTATTCATAACACATGGGAAAAGACCCAGGGAAACAGAGTTGACGATAAAAACATTTAAAAAAATAACGATTAAAAACCCTGAAAACCATAAAGCCACAACTCTTGCGGCCCAGTACCAAACGACTCCGGTCCGTGGCCCAGGGGTTGGGGACCGCTGTCCCTAGAACACCTGCAGGCAGTTTTGTAACACTATCACTAAAGTCAGTAATATATTTTACCCGATAAAACATTTTTCACATCAGCATGGTGAATCGAAGTACTCTTGTTTTATTTCCCCCTATAAAATGGAAAAAATGTATTATGTGGCGACACTATAAAAAGGCTCTAATTAGAGACAAATTATGGACTTAATGGAAGTCGGTCCACCCATTCCTGGGATACGCGAGCCTCGTCTAGTCAAGGCACAGTTGTCCTGCATCGCTGACAGTTGTCGGAGATGGATTCATTTTTGTTTTTATTTGAGAGGGGAAATGGCCAAATGACCCTAAACTCTGACCATCATATGAATTCTCCTGGAAATTACCACTAAGTGAGCTTCATGATAATCACATGACTGTAATCACGTGGGTAAAAATCCCCAACCTTAGAGTTCTAGGGTTAAAGAAGATGGCCATTTATTGCTTTGTAGTTGTTGGTTGGGGAAAGCTGCTGGCTTTTCCGTTGTATGGGCTTCCTTAATTTCTTAATATACCCCTTGTTAGGAGCTTTGTTGTTAAAAGCTTCCAAAATTCCTGGGGTTTTCTGTCCATATTCTATGGTTCGTGGGTATTTACTGTGTTGGTTAACATTTTAAAACCCCTTTTGATTTAAGGGAGATTAAAGATACAGCTCCCAAGTGGCTTTGCCAGCTTTTCTGTGGCCAAAAACTAAAAGGACATGCTGTTTAACAGTAATCAAATAATTGTTTTGCTCTGGCACAGCGACGAGATGCTGGAGTTTTACTACGCAGTGTAGCAGGGAAGCAGGACTGCAGCTCTCTGTAGTGAACCTCCATGGCATTATGCCAGGATGTGGCCCTTTTTTCCGAACACGTCACATGTCACAGTTGTTTTTCCCTAATGTAAGCTGTTAAAGGCCTTTTTTGAAGTTCTTTCTAAACTAAGAAAAATCTTTCTTAACCCCTCTAATTGCTTCCAGTGAGTGAAAATCAAAGGCAATTAAAGTGATGCTTGAACTTGGCTGTAAAATAAGTGTAACTCGGATTGCCCCTTAGGAATGCATGTCTTCCTATTTTTAGCTTTGCCGTGTTTTGATGCCAGACTGGCTTTAACTTGCGTTGTCTTTGTGGGGCGCAGTCATTTTTTCAGCCTTAACCGTCATCTGTTTATGATGCATATTTACACCCCACCCCCACCGACATCGCTGTTTATGTTTAAAGCGTGCAATCAAAGCGGCGAGTGCGACAGCTTAGCCGAACATGCCAGAAAGCTATTGATTGCACCACTCCTCTGAGCTTTTGATGAGCTAACATTTACAGGGATCCATGACATCAGAGAGTAACCCTTGTGGGGCCTTTTTTTATTCTTTGTTACAAATCTTGGCACTCCCTCACTTATCTAACGCTAAACACTTGGTTCTTCATTTATTTAGAATATGACGCGTCTTTCCATTGGAAAAGCTGACTAAGCCTTTACTGAACACGGCGGGTCATCTCTCTTCCGTAGAGGTGTTGCCAGACGCGCCGTGCACACGTAGAATACCATTACTGCCTCTCTAAACTCTGTCAAGTTTTTCCTGTTGTAACAGGACCATATCCTTGACTCAAGCTCTGACTCAATAAGCCCGCGTTCTGTGTGACAGCCCGAGAGGATGATGTCATACTCCTGTCAGTAAGTGATTTACCTGCCTGCGTGGGAAAAGGTAGATGGTTCTTTCCAGTAAATGATGTGACTATTGGTAACACGCGGTCCTTGTCTGCAGCTATCAAGTATGTCTCTGGCAGTCTGCGGTAAATCATAAGCTGCTGACTGATACCGTCATGATGACCCATAATGCCTGTCTCTGCTGGTGAAATGGACCCAGAAGCGCAGACTCTGTGAGCGGATCATCGAGTTTTAATGATCAACACAGCAAAATCAGTTTTGGCTCAGGAGGTGTAGGGGGTTGTCACTAATCACGAAGTTGAAGGTTGGATTCCTGGGTTTTTCTGAGCTGCTTGTTGAGATGTCCTGGGGCAAGATACTGAACACCAAATTGCCCCCAATGCGTCAGCATGTGTGAGATGCATAAAGCGCTGTCTAAGTGTGTGTGTGTGTGTGTGTGTGTCTGAATGTGGCTCACGACGTAAAGCGTTCAGAGTTAAGGCTAGAAAGTGGCATACTAAAGCAGCCTGTTAGTACTTTTTATGTTTAGGTTGTTGTTTTTATTTGACATGCGTGAAGGGGGGCTGAGCTGAACATGGAAGTCACACAGCTCGATCTTTAAAGGGGGATTTATTAAGCTTTCTTTGACGTTATCTCTAAAAGCAAACTTAAAATGCTCTCTAAAGCAGGGGTGTCAAACATAAGGCATAGGGGCCAGAATAGGCCCAGCAAAGACTTCAATGTGGCCCACTAGATGGTCCCTGTAAAATCTGAAGGAGGGCTTTTCCTACTGAGAAAAAGCTCCCCTGTTTTAAATGAAAGGTTTTTTCCTTCTTCAGTAATTTTACACATTTATTTGTTACAGTTTAAGCCCAGAGAGTCATGCTGATAGATTTCTGTCATTTATTACAGCAGTTTTTCTTTTTTATGTAGAAAAACTGAGACACACTGTTTTAAACGGCTCTTCTGTTTCTCACATTAACCCTTTGTTTACCACCGGCCCACTTGCGGTCCCATTTTACAAGCACCTTTAAATGATTGTAACTCCATTAACGTTTGTGCTAGATGGGAAACTCAAATGGTTTCAGAAGGAGGAGAAGGTTATCTTTACAGGGATATTTGGTGTGTCATGGTAGCGCAAGGCATTCACAAGGTACTGCTGTCTGAACACGGACAGAAACAGTCCTCTCTGCCTTGATGTTACCATGTACGCTTCACATTACCATAGCTGTCTAACCTCCTGTCTGAATTTGTTTCTTATCCTCCAGCTGACGCCGGGTGGAAAGGCAGCTCAGGCTGCCATCGATGTTGGAGACTGGGTGGTGGCGATCGGTGACGCCAACGCAGAGGAGATGACCCACGTGGAGGCACAAAACAAGATCAGAGAAGCGTCAGGCTCCCTCACCCTCACCCTCAGCAGGTTAGCCGTCCGACATCGCGCGATGTAACGAAATGATACGCTTATCTCATTCAAACAGAAGCACAAATCCCCACAAAACAAATGCCCGATTTCATCCTTACTTTGACAAAATAGGACGACATACTTTGAGTGAAACTTGATCCAACGTGACGGATTTTAAATTGGTTTTTAGATTCGGGCACGGCTCAAATAAAGCAAAGTAAATATTTATTGGCAGAAAGGTGATATTAATGAGGAGTTAACAGGATATCTGGAGAATAATTCAGAAGATTTCATTAGCATCGAACAAAGAAAACCTTCAGGCACATTTATAAAGGATTTGATCCTTTTTTCTTTTCTTTTTTCTTTTTTTTCCTTCCTTTCTTCTCAGCAACATTGAATTCTGGCATTTTGTTTTTTCCACATGTGTATTCAATTGAAATGCTATGACATTTCTGCTGCACTTGGATTCACAGAATTGGGGTTGTGGAAGCCGTATTCAGGTGCTCAATTCGAAGCTTTTTTTTTTATTTTATTTTTTTGAAATAAACGGCCTCATTACCAGCCTCATTCATAAGAGACTTCAGCCTTGACTTCACCCTATTAAAATATGATGGCCTTTTTGCTTGCAGGCAGTTTAAAAGACTAACTTTGTGCCTGTCGGTCTGAAATTAAACTTGATACAAATGAATTATTCACTGCATGTATTTTAATAGTAATGCTAGGTGCGCCATTCTCACTTATTAAAGCAGGGGAATGTCGTGGATTTGGCAGAGGTACAGCCTGTCTGAATCCGTCCTGGCTTACTTCTAACAGTAATATTCTGTCCTTCACATCATAAAGAAGGAAACGCAGCGATGAGTGCCGTCGGGTGGATGTACCGGCCTTTGTTCTGTTCAAATACACCATCTTCAGAGGAACCTTGGGCACCATACTTGCCTCAGTTCCATAATGAAATTAGAGAAACTTTTATTTTTTTCAGATGCAACACTTTGTTGTTAAATGTGCGGCAAGAAAATCTTTTTATTTTGCTTCAGTAATTTTTAATTAGCACTGCGTAACCTTCTATAGGCAGCACTTATACCTGCTCACATACTTCCTGCCAGAAATACTTGACAAAGTCTCTCAGTAGAGTCGAAGCCAGAATGTTTCATCAAGAGCTTAATTATAAGAGAGCGAGGGGAAGGTGGGGGGGAAAAAAATCCCTCCCAATGAAGGATCAAACGTAATCATTCAAGGACCTAAAACCTTCAGAAAATGAGAAGTATTGACTTGTTAAGTAACAACGATGGGCCGGCTGCTGTCATGGGACTCATTTTGATTTTGTGATCCTCATAAGTAAGATGAAAATGGCTGTGTTAACGTCTTCGCTTTATTGTTCCTACCAAGAGACTCGACTCTTTAATTCTTACAAATCTTCTTTGTGCGTTTAGTTGAATCCGAGCAGCCACAGGTCATTTATCAGGCTGCTCAGAAGGCAGAGCCATTACGTGAATGAATAGAAGGGAGATTTGGAGATATGTTTATGACATATTGTTTCAAATATTCCAGGTTTTCTTGCATTCGTACAACATAATAGATTTGGGTACTTGGCTTTCCCGCTCTTGTTTCCCTTTTTATAATGTTGATCAGCGTGTTGCTGGACATTAACCTGTATTTCTAAGCATTTTAAGCTCTCTTTCCTTAATTGGACAACCACTTAAATTGGGGTATAATGTCCAGGAATAAAAAGACTTGCTACATCCTGTTGATGTGTTATCAGATCAGTCTTATCATTCATTAAATTATAGTGTACATTACATTCTCCTGGCACTTTATTTGGTATACTTTGATCGTACTGGGTTGGGCCAGATATGCCTTGAACAATAGTTCATGGTTCAACAAGGTGCTGGACACATTCCTCAGATTTTGCTCCATATTGACATGATGCCATCACACAGTTTCTGGAATACTTTTTTTTTTTTTGGCTGCACATTCACGATGTCTACACTGCTGCTCAGTGGATATTTTCTCTTTCTGCTTTCAAAGTCACTTAAATCACCTTTTTGGTGCTCGGTTTTAACTCCAACAGGTCGTTTTGACCGTGTCTACATGCCCATATGTACCAAGTTGTCGCCGTCTGATTGGCTAATTAGATATTTGCATTATGGTGCGGTTGAACAGGTGTGCCTAATAAAGTGGCCGGTGAATGTAAGCAGTATTGCACTGTGGATATGGATGTCAAAATATAACGTTGCTTTGTATTTGAAAAATATCTGTTTAATTTAAAAATGTGGCTTCGCAGGAAATGGTGTAATATTTCGACAGAACAGTAACAGGTCAGCGTGTTTACTTTTCTTGCACTCTGTGGTTTTTCCTCCTCCATTTCTCGTCTCCTTGTGGAGTCCGGCTTTTGTAAACATTTCACATTCTTCTTCCCATGACTCCCCAGTCTCCTCTCTTCATCTCACCCCGTCCGATTGTTATTATATTGTAAGACAAGCAAATATTGTTTTCCTGAAACACTTTTCAGAGACGAGCTATTGTCAGTCTTATTTATTCGTATCTTGGCTGCCATCCACGGTTTCTTTTTATGCCTAGAGAGGAGGACAGCTGCGCGATGATGAGATACGGTCTATTGTTTGGTTTGGCGTCTCATTTTGTTCGACACCAATGATCATCTTGTTTAATAGAAAAGGTTTTAGCTTTATCCTGAGCCTTTTTATGGGGACTGGAATCCTCCAAAAAATATGTCCAGTAGAGTTTCACCTTCACAGGAAAAACATCCCACAGCATCCACGGGGACACATTCGACTCATATTTTAGCCGGCCGCTGGACTGGAGGCTTGTTTGGAGAATGTTGGTGAAGTGTGCAAAGTTGATTACAGTATCATGGGAGGTTTTTGTTATTTCTAACTTTATCTAAGATCAGCTTGAAAGCTAAACGTGCATCAGCTAAGATAAGTGACCCATGAAATGAGGTGGGAAATGATCTCATACACCGTGCGTATTCGGTTTCAGCACAAGCAAACTGATTTCTTCCAAAAACACAGATGAAATCATCTCCATATTTCTTCATTTTAGTCCACCTTGCCAAATTAAACGCGGTAACAAAAGGGTCATGGCACGGATTCCCCGTGTCCCAGATTTCAAATGTGTCTCATTAACTTGTCAGCCTAGCTAAGGTGAGCTCAAGCACTGTGTCACATCGATTTGTCTTCCAGAAATGTGACATGAGCAGACATGTCAGTATGCCTTCCCCTCGCTGCCCTGTCTATCTGCTCAGCCCTGTTGTCATTCTGTCTTAAACACTGCTCTATTAGCGGCTGAGCAGGCAACAGCATGAGCGGTTATTATTTTCTGTGTCACAGGAAGCGCGGCCCATTGTTTTTGTTGGTGATTATAGCCTCAAACAATGAGTAACTGCAGGGTGGATTCATTCTGGCTTAACCCTATTTGAGCTTTGTGCAGCGTGTAAGCGCTGGTCAAAGGGTGGCGGTGATTTATGTTCAATTATTTCAGGAGGAAACAGAAGTGTAAAGCCGGCCGCCTCCATGTTTAATGCGTAAAGATATATTCTAATAATCGTGTGCTCTGTCGGGGGCGGGGGACACCGCAGGGATGTTAATCCTGGGAGAAGCTTTAAGACCTGAACAGGACTGATTGACCCGCTGTATTCTCAGCTCTCTTAATAAGTTTATTAAAATGAAAATCCTTTTTTTCTTTTTTCTTTGTGAATGTTAAAACAAAGTACAGCACACAAACTGTAAAAAATTAAACACATTTTTCCAAGTTACCTCTTACGATAATTTGAAGTAAAACTAGTGGAAATATAATGAACAATAAGCACATTTTTTCTGACGTGTTGATTTTTTTTTTCCCCCCCTCTTTCTCTTTAGACCCTCCAAAGCGGGTGGAGACCAGAAGGTAAGCCTGCATTTATCTGACTCGCCGAGCTCACCTCAGCGTGGACACTCTGGATGGTTTGGCATGGTGTGCTGTGCTGTGACAGTTAAATTCCAACTTAATTGTTACTCACAGTTTTTCGTGTCACTTTGTGTTCTTCAATTTCATCTGAATCACCTGCCTTGTCAAGCTCTCACAGAGTCCATGCACTCTGCATTAGCCAAGCATCAGCAGGTTGCAAAATTAGCAGTTTGCTGGGCAGTTGTCGCTGATGCATTTGGAATTTCCCGCACAGTCCCTGATGCCAGATAAATACTGACGCTTTAAGACTGTGGAGTCGCCCGGCCAGCTGATCAAACTGAACGGTTTTTAGAAAAGCAGCCGGCACATGACACAAACGCAGAGTCACTGTTCTATTTTAATAGTTGTTTATTTTCTTGCTGCAGTCCATGCACAATACTCAAAGAGGAAATCTCATTAGTGAGACACGTCAGTTATAGACGACAATTTGAGCATTTTCATTTTAGCAGCAGTAGCAGATTACATTGGCCAGCAATTGGCCGACTGCCAACACAAATAAAATCTGTGTTCACACTTCTTAAGCATTTTTTTTTTCCATGTGTAGAGAAAAGCCCGGAGGCTTTTGACAGAGCCGCCGTCGCAGTACAGAGTAATCTTTTTGCTATAATGAAATATTGGGACTGCGCTGGAAAAGCTTGGGCTTGTGCGACGGCAGATGGAGTTCTCTGTGCGTGTCACAAACGTCTAACTGCATGTCGTGCACTGTGCTGCATTGTCTCCTTCTCCCACACCCTCACAGGACTCGCTTGCTACAGCTTCTGTTCCGCCAAAGTACTCCTTTGCCCCGAGCACGACCATTAACAAGATGGCGAGGCCATTTGCAGCAGGTGGTGCTAGTGCCAACTCAGGACCTGCTATTAAACCTGTGGCCTACTCTCCTAAACTCAACACCCCGCGCTCACAGGGGCATGCCAGTACACCCCAGCCACAGAATGGGTAGGTGGATGAATAAACGCTATTACCATTGGAACCGCAACGTGACTAATGTGGTTTTAATGGCATTTTTCTGACGTCTCATTATTCTTGTTTTAAACTTAAAAAGAAAATAATGCCTTTAGGAATTTAAAGAATTTAGTCCAATCAGTGCTGCGGTGTGGTGCCAAAGTGAAGTCACAGATTTTTTACATTTTCTTTTAGGGCACGTTAGAGAAAAGGGAGGAGAGCAAATGCAAGCTGACTCACTGTGGAAATCCAATTATTAACTGTGCCAATAATTTGTCTAAACCTAGGCTAATGCTAAACGCAGCAGTAGTAGTTGCTGTTGTAGATTGTGTCCTGATTAAGTCTGGTGGTGTTTGTATAGCAGGAAATGTTTAGCTGAAATATGCAGTTCCAGCTGTGGATGAAAGAGAGCTGCAGTGAAATCTATCAAGATGACAGAGAAGTATTGGGATTGGTTATATGTGCCAATAATCAGTCACAGTTTCACAGCCATGTTAAACTCTGTGTTCTTTGGAGACTGTAGATCCTGTCACGAGTTTTTTCTTTTTCTGCATTGTTTAATCTTTGTTCCCGTCATCCTCATTTTGTGTGTTTAACTTAATCTGTTTACTCAGTCACTTTCCTTTTTACGTCTTCTCTAACCTTAGGACGGGGAAAAAAACGAACATCATGATTTAAATCTTTAAGATTTATACAAAGACTTTGTTTAAGGCTGGATTCGAGTATAGATTAGAATGAGTAATCGACAGTGGAGGTGAGTCTTTAGGAAATGATTGCAAGTCGGTGTAATGTGTGGGAGAGAAAAGCATTGATGTTGTTTTTAATAGTGGGACCTGAAAAGAAGATGCGAAATATTTCTTGCAAAATCATTTCTTTCTTATAACAGATTTTCCATTTCAGCAGATGGGTTATTGATCGAGCGTGATTATTACTCGTCTCTTGCATCTACAGTTAGCAGAATGAAATATGTAATGTTCGACAGATGCAGTGTGGCGCTTGACATTATGATTCTGATGCACAAATCTCACACGCTAATGCTGATCGAGCTGTCACCGAGTCCTGCTCAAGGACACTTCGGTACGTGGAATAGCCGGCCTCTGCATTTACGGGATAATCTGCTGTACCGCCTGAGACGCAGATTCCCAGAAACAATTTGATGTAGTTTGCTGTAAAAGTGAGCCTTTGACCTTGAAATGTTCATTGCTTTTTTTTTCTTCTTTCTTTAACCCGCTGAGTTTTTAATATTTTTTTTTCCCAAGTATTCCTGCAAGAAATGTGTTTTAAATGATCCGGAAAGTAGAAGTTTGGCATGAAATGGTCTGTAAGGATAGGCCGGTCCAGTTCCTTTTAATTTGGGTCATGGCAGCGCTCCGTCTCCAGCCGCTGGTGAGATGTGGTCTGTTGCTGTATTTAGCCTCATACATTCTGTTGGTTTCCCAAGCTTTTCCTGCTCTGCTTTTCTTCTTCTTCTTTGTAAAATCAACTTTTCTTGTTACTCTGCAACACTAATTCCTCTTGTCATGTTTGAAAAGAGTTGAGCGTAATCAAAACCACCAGGTTAATCTGGTGAGGACGTCATCTATTCTTTGATTCTCCACAGTTAATAGTTGGATCCAAAAAGCTGTCTAAGCCCGACGTGTTAGAACAGGTTTAGCATTGTGTTGTTTGGACAGAGTTACCAGTAATACGTCACTGCTGTAGCATTTATGATGAGCAGATCCCTCTTGTGCTCCTGTTGCCCGTGAATGAGGCCCAATGGCACAGAAATTAGGTTTAATTTTCCTTTCAAAAGGCTACAGCCGTGTACGTACCTCTGTGAGGCGTTTGTGTACGGGGATGAGAGGAGCAGGAAAGCAAATGTTTTGTGCCAGTCTGCTGAGTCCTTTTGGGTCAGGGTGACAATGGATGATTTGACAGTCAAACAATGCCGTCCTTCTTCCTCCTCTCACAGAGCCTGCTGACAATAGCAGCATATCTCTACACACCTCTCGCATGGTTTCTGCATTTTGCAATGTTTTTGATCGTCTGTTGTGTGAAACCTTAGTCGTGTATAGACGTGCTCAGTTTCTCCTCCCCCTGAAATCTTAACTCTAACCTTTTTCCCACTCTTTTCTTTTAACTCCACAGATGGAAGCTCATTACAAGTTAGTATGTTTCTTTTCTTGTTTTCATTTGCAGTCAAGTGTGTGTGTGTGTGTGTGTGTATATATACACTTTTATAAATTGGCATTCACACTTTGTCTCATGACAAAGCTGTGCACAGCCTGATAGTAGTTCGGTTGCATGTCTTTACTGGGTGTGACTTCACAAAACTATTGTATTAGGATAACTTAATTTAAAAGAAGAATGCGAGACGAATATTGTGCACATTTTTAATTAGCCTTAAAGTCAGAGACCCCAAAAAGGAGAATGAAGTTGCAGTTTATCTCCTACTTCACAGTTAAACTATTTCTTATTAGATTGCAGTCTGTGCAAAATAAGAAATATTGTCAAATATCGCCTTCCATCTTCTCGTTCCTATGGTAACTTCACGAGCCTAGTGTTTACGTGCTCTTTGGTCTAATCCACAGGGGTGAAGCAACTTACTATGATGATATCTACCAACAGTCCAAGTAAGGGGCAGCTGCATGGTGGCTGTGCGGTCGGCTTTGTAGGCTAATCTGGCTGTTTATGTAAAAGCGAGAAAATGCTGATGCCCTTTTGTTAGACTGAGTGACTGTGTTTACAGAGTGAGGATGGCAGTTCATTAATGACTGTGTCTTTTGATATTTCTCTCGCTTGTTTACGAACGCATGCTGCAGTTGACCTACAGCTGTGCTTAAAATGAGCAGCTTAAAAAGCATTTCATTTGAGTGATTAAGTTGTTTATGAAAAATAAATGCCTCTCCTTTTAGCTTTTTTCCTCTTCACATAAAGCCAGAAGTGAAGTGAAGTGGCTTTTCTTGCGCTGATTCTAATGACAGTTATGAGTATCTTCCGTTTATGAGCTTCTGCCGTGTCCCCATGAGAAATCTTAGTAATGGGTGTCCATTAGTGCTGTTATTGCGTGACTCTGATACTAAGCGTTCCTCCATGCGTTTGTGTGAGTGGGTAGTCCCTGGATGTGATTGTGTTAACCACACCTGCTGTGTGCTCCTGCTCCTGCTGCTGGGTGTGTGTGCGCGGCAGGCACGGCCTCAGGGTGGAGAGCATCCCCTGTTTTATTCCCAACGACCGCAGCAAGAAGAGGCTGATTGAGGACACTGAGGACTGGCAGCCCCGCACTGGCACCACCCAGTCTCGTTCCTTCCGCATCCTGGCTCAGCTCACAGGCACCGACTTCAGTAAGTCAGGGCCTAAGACAGAAGTGATGGACTGTTACAGCAGAGAGTAATGGGTTTGAGGGGTGGGCCTCTCTGTTAGTCAAGATAAGGTGTAGGATGGGGGGCTGTTACTAAACGGTTGATGTGATTTGATCTCTGGGACTGAGTGTGACAGCAAGAATGAGTGACATAGAAAAGGTGGATGAGGGGTTTCTTCATTTTTCAGCTGAAGAGAGGTGGCTGGTGTTTTCACTGACATGTTTTTGTTTTTTCTACCCTGACTGTAACCAGTCTGACAAAGGAAGAAACTGCATAGCTAAATATAAGGAATATCATTACTTATTCTGAGGTGTGTGTCAACATTTGTATTAGTGAGGCATTCTGATGTGTGTCTCTCCTGGATCTCTCAGTGCAGGACCCAGATGATGAAAACATGAAGAGGTCCAGGTAAACGGATTGTCATTAATGTGACCGGTCACGTGTTTGTGTTTGTACACTTGCATATGTGGAAGCCTCAGCTTGGCAGTTACTTTGAAAAAAGAAAAGGAACAAAAAAACCCTCTCCTGTCAGTGTAGTTTAAATCGTGCAGCTCTGCCTCTGTGTACCACCACATTGAATAAAAACAAGACGGATCTGATTTAAGTGTAGACCTGAAGATCAACTTAAACTGGTTTAACAGAATCATTACACTGATCATTCAATAATTAGACTTTTTGCAATGTTTACAGTGAGATGGGATCATCATTATAAATGTGAGTTTACTCATTAGAAAGTAGCAGGATACAATTTATGTGCGCAGAGCTGTGTTTTCTGCTGAGATTCAGTCAAATGCTGCATAACTGTTCATGAATGGCCAAGTTAGGTCACCTGACCTCGGCTAAACGTAGACGAAACTAAAAGTAGAAAACCCCACAAAGCTGCAGCGACTGAAGGCAGTTGTAGTAAAGGCCCAGAAAAGAATCTCAAAGGCGGAAACGTGGTATTCGGGGATGTTTATGGTTTCCAGATCCTGCCTTAAAAATGATGCTTCCCAATTTGTACACATACCTAAATTGGGCCTGTAAAGGGATGGTACTGAGGCATTATATTTATATTAGTGATTTTTAGCGTTAATCTCGTTAAAATGATGTTAATGTCACAACCGCATTAACGCTGCAAATCTCCGTTAGCCAGGTGTCAACGGGTTAGCGCAGTTAGCTCGTTAACGCGTTAGCACCGTCCAGCCCCACTCACGGGGCGATTCCCGCTAAATTGCTAACGGAGATCTGCGGTTATGGCGTTAACGTCATTTTAACGAGATTAACGCGACAGCACTAATTAATAATGAAAAAAAAGGTTTCTGATCAGTGTCTGTTAAACTCGTTGAATTAAAGCTAAAAGTCTGCACATCCTGACTGTACGATCCATGGTGGCGTTGTACAGATATAGCAACCATAATTTTGCTGCTTTGAACATCAGCATGCCCGGTGTGTTTTTGTTCATAGTGTGGTTTTGTTGTTGTTTTGAGTCTGCTCAGTAGCATAACATATTAACTTTTTTGCTGTGTTGCTAAAATGCAGATGGGAAGATTTGATAGTATTTTAATTTCTGATTTCTACATAACTGGAGCCATCGTCCAATTACCTTGGTGCATGCAGCAGCAGTATGCTATGTTCCTCAAAAGTCCCCTTTTATTTTAATTAGTAGATTAG